AAGGCATGCCTACAATTGAGAACGCTGAAAATACAAGGCATTATTCTAGCTAGTCAAATAATTTTAAAGTCCAACTTCCAAGCATTTTAGAACATCAGTAACAGACCATTGTCATCAAAACGGCAAGAGGGCCTGACACTATCTGTATTCCAACATTCTAGGCAGGTGAAATTAGACATGCAAGTCAGTCTTGATTTGTCTTTATTGTTTTACATTGAATACAGTTATTCTACAGACTTAGTGAGAACGCTTTCCAAAATGAAAATGAGGAAATCAGATAAATTCCAAAAACAAAAGGAATAAAAGCATTTTGATGACTCTTAGATTAGAGAGTTCTGGGAACAGAGAGTAAGAGTGACACTCTCATCTTTAGGATATTAATTGCTGTGTAGATTCTAGAAATAATACAAAAGTCTTAACCAAGTGCTTTTATCTCTTGGGGCCTCAGTTTCCTCATCTATAGAAATTATTATGGAATTAAATAGTAAGTCCATTCCACATCCCTTATCCTACAATTCAGATAATAATCCTTTTATATTAAATAATTTTCTTCTAGTGATTTATATTTAAATTTATTGGTTCAACCCCCACTCTCATTAGCAACCATTCTCGGATACCTTTTATTTTTTTTTATTTTTTTATTTTTTTAAATTTTTTTTTTAACGTTTATTTATTTTTGGGACAGAGAGAGACAGAGCATGAACAGGGGAGGGGCAGAGAGAGGGAGACATAGAATCGGAAACAGGCTCCAGGCTCTGAGCCATCAGCCCAGAGCCTGACGCGGGGCTCGAACTCACAGACCGTGAGATCGTGACCTGGCTGAAGCCGGACGCTTAACCGACTGCGCCACCCAGGCACCCCAACTCGGATACCTTTTAAATACTTAATAGAAGCTTCATTTCAATTCGAAGGGACAACTTCAAATCCAGAGTGTCCCAACTAGAAGAGTTCTGGTATTTTATGAACAATAATATTTGAACTTGAACTAGAGAAGTTTAGTTTTCAGAGAAGAAAATTAGGTCCTTCTAGCATGCTTACTACAGGAAAACATAAGGCTTGTTAGTGAAAATGAGAGATCCAAGAACACAGTTTTGTTTCCCAAACTCTCGTGTCTGCTGAATGCTCTGTAAAGCCCTGAAGCATGGTAGTTCATGACTGATAAAACCAGGGGAAAAGAGAAGGGCATGTCAAAGTCAGGAGTTCTCTAGCTAAGGTCATAACCAGTGACCTTACAGAATTTAGGAAATACAAATAAACTTGCTCCTATATAGAGATTTTCCAACAAGTAAGATTTACTTAATCATCTCTCTCTAACTTTTAAGACTATTTAGCCAATTTGAAAATAATGCAAATTAAAACCTGGAATGTAATTAAGCAGAAGGCTTAATGGAAAGTGGAGAAGTCTTAATAATAAACCAAGATAAATACAAACATTTCATCAAGAAAAGTTTTAACATTTGTTTTATCAAAGAGTTCTGATTTCACTCTTGTTACAAGAAAGAGTGACCATAAAGACAGCAAAGAAATTCAATAAATTTTGATAAAATACGTTAAATCTCTAAATAACTTATACTCAGTTCACAGTTTGTAAAGAAAGTGTATACCACTATACATTTTATTCTGCTATATCTGTTAATTCTATTCATTAAGTAAAAATGGCTGCTTTCATTTTTCAGCTAAAAGCACTAATTTAAAAAGTTTTTGTTAACTGTGGGAGCTTTGATATGAAATAGGTAGGCATCGAGAGAAGGTGTAATGATTGGGAAGAAATTCATGAAGCTGCTTCAAGAATTGTTAGATCAGTGCATAGGGATACATGATGCTCAGGGTGAACAAAGAGATTTAAAGAATTAACTTGGAATTTATCACCTATTCTCTGAATTCCACTAAAGGTTCAAATATATGCACAGTTTTAGATCCATGATAAACCTACTCTCTAGGATGTGTCTTTTTGTTTTGTTTGCTTCTCATAATAACATCCAAGGTTGCTTCAATCATTTAAAAGACAGTGATATGTCAACAAATTTCTAGATTCTTGTCATGGGAGGGCTATGGTGCCCTCCCTGTTTTCTGAAAACTGAAATGGGTTATCTGATGTCTCCGTGTGGCAAACTAAAAATAATCATTTCCATTGTTGTTGGAAGCATGACTGGAAGAGAAAGGATCATGAAAGAGAGGAACTATAATTTCACGTTGGGGGAAGCTAATTTTAATGTCTTTTAGACTTGTGACATCACACTTTTTGTGACAGGGTCAATAGAGCTTTACCCAAAAAGATAAAACACCAAACTTTCACATTATGAAAGAGAACAAGAGAATTTGAGCTTCAAAAATAACCAAAGAAGAATGACTGTGCCTCGAAAAACAAAACCTGAGAGACTCTTGATGAGGTAGACAGTCCACCAAGTGTAACTGAATTAGACTCAACTGTGATCTGATTAGATATACACATGTACACACAAAATATCTCCGACAAATATTACAATTTGTAATATATTCTTGTCAGTTGGGTTTGCTTAATCAGAATATAAAATTTCATAAAAGCTATAGCTCAACAGAACAAAATTACTACACTCCTAATATTGCAAACATAATTAACTTTGAATTATGTGAATTAACAGCGCCTAACAAATTATCATTCAGCTCTGAAATTAAATTCTTTGGTACCATTAGATTTGTTTGTTAAGCTCAAGTAGGCAAAAGTTGTATTTAATAAAGTAATAATGGTGCTTTGCTAAGAGTGCCTTTGAGAAACAGATTTATCCAAAATAAATCAAGGAATTTCTATTATTAGTTAATTTGTGAATATCACAATGCCTGCATAATAAAATTAAGGGAAAAATTTGATGCTCTTACAGGGTACTAATGTTTATTACAGGAAGCCTTTTTCTAATTATCTCTTTAATTAGGTATTTTATATGGGATTTTGTGGTTGCATACATGTAATGTAAACACATTTAATATTGTTTTAGACTCACAGGTCTTTTTCCATTAAAGTTATACTAGCACTTCCATTAAAAAAAAAATTAAAAGTCAGGGTCATTTAAACTTCCTCTTACATTATCCATCTCAGGTAATTGCCTCCATCCATTCTCAGAATATATTTAAAGTGAACAAACAAGAAATCAAGAAATATAACATTTAAATATTTTCATGTGACCACAGGAATTGGAATTCAAAATATAATCTTCCCGTATGACAGAGTCTATCCACGTAAAATCTCATGTTTCAATGGACTAAAATTTTAATATATCAGGAGCAGAGATGAGGGAATGCTTTCACTTCTTTGTGTAAAGAAAGGAACTTTGCTCAGATGTTTGATTAAGTTCTCCAGCAAGGTACCCTCTGAACACTAGAGATCCAAGCAATGATAAAGGAAGGCTAGGCTTTAGAAATGCCTGCGAGAATAACTGTGAGAGAGGAAAGACAAATGATTTAAAATCAAAACAAAATAAAACTCTAGCAGAATCAGTTGATTTGAATGCCAACATAATGCATGTGCTCTCTCATTAAAAAATAACTCCAAGATAATTTTTTGAGATCTAGGAACCCTGGTAAACTCAGTCAACTTAACTTCTATAATATTTGAGTTTGCCATGAGGGGAATTAGAAAAATGTTTAAAATGGAATGTGTTTGGAGCCTGAATTTAATTTTGAGGGTCATGTTGCAATGTTGCCTTACACTACGACTTTCTGCATATTCCAATTATAAAATTCAACTGGAGAGATGACAAGGAGAATGTTTACCAGGAATTTCACTCTGTAGTGAAGGCTGTTGCTACTATAAGGCATGTGCTGCCTTTCTTTCATAAATCATTTCACCTACCCCGCCTGTATAGGGCTTGGGATGTAGAAAGTATTTTTCTAGTCAGAGAGACAAGTTTGTCCTTGTTCCTAATTCTATCCCTTATTCCTTGCCAAATCCTTCTTATAACAAGCGACTCAAACACTTCAGCTGAATTGTCAGCATTAGATGTTAGTGGCCATGGTGAAGGAAAGCGTGTGTGTAAGTGTGTGTGTGCGTGTGTGCGTGTGTGTGTGTGTGTGTGTGTGAGAAAGAGAGAGAAAGAGAGAGAGGAGGAGGAGGAGGAGGAGATGGAGGAAAAACAGGAAGGAAGGAGCGAAGGAAGGAACGAAGGAAGGAAAGAAGAAGGAAACAGAAGGGAGGAAAGAAAAATGAATACAAAGTAGGCAGATAGGCAGATAGAGAGAAAGATCCAGCTACCAGTTCTCAGAGAGATACAACATGTGTCTTAAAATAATCAGCATAGACCATCTAACTGAAAGCCTGTTTTTAGTTGAAAAATCTTTTCTTTTCTTTTAAATTTTTTATGTTTATTCATTTTTGAGTGAGAGAGAGAGAGAGCTCCAGCTGGGGAGGGCAGAGAGTGACAGAGACACAGAATCGGAAGCAGGCTCTAGGCTCGGAGCTGTCAGCACAGAGCCTGATACAGGGTTTGAACACCTGAACCCACGAAATCATGACCTGAGCTGAAGTCGGACCCTCCACCAACTGAGCCACCCGGGCGCCCCTCGAAAAATCTTTCCTATGATTGTAATGGGAAAAAAAGTACCCACTATTCTAAATTCGAATAAAATGAAAGTTTGTGCTATTAGTGTTACTTGTCAGTGTTGTTTGTCTCAATATTCAGTAAATAAATTTTCCAGGAATACATATAATCTTACCCTTTATTCCTGTATTACTAAAGCAGCCTCCTAACTGCCTTCTGTTTCTCCAGCATTGCCCCCAATGCTGTTCATTCTTCATATTGTGGAAGGAGTGGTCTTCCTAAAATGCATCTCATTTCCCTGCTTTCAACCCTCAGTGACGTCATTTTTTCCCTGATAAATACTACCTAATGTTAGATGTAATGCATCATACAGTAATTACCTACTTACCTGACCAAAATCTTCCTACACAGCCACTACTTGGTCCATCTTTTAACTCTTAATGCCTATAAGCACCTGACAAATGATAGTAGCTCAATAAATACTTACCTGGTAAATCAAATAATGGATGTAAGTTTTGTATGAGAAGAAGAGCTGCAAACACAGAAAATAATATATTTATAAAATTAGAAACATGTTAGGAACATGCAAAAACAAGACAATATTTTTAAAATTGCTTCGTGTGTGTAAGAGAGTGTTATGCATAGTGGGGATTAGGGAGGTGAAATGATTCCATGTCCATTATCTTATTTGACCCTCAAAATCAAGCTGTGGCTTAAAATAATCAAGAGAAACAAAAGAACATAAAGTAAACATTTTAAAGGACTCACTATAGAGCTCAAACTTTGCAATACCTGCTTTTTAGACACAGCATTAAGTTTTGAATGTTATTTTTCTTCCAGTAGTTTCCTATTCTCACTTCCTATTGTTTTGAGGATTTATACACACAGAGTATTTATAGATTATTAATATTTAGTATTTATTTTCCTAAAGGGTGCGTATAGGTATGTACGTATATATGCATAGAGAAAGTAGACTAGGTAGAATTGTGAGCTCAGACAAATGACTTCTCTATGCCTCAGTTGCCCCAGCCACTAAATGAAGATAGTAATAATACCTACTTCATAAGTTTGTATCAGGCTTAAATAAGTTTACTTATAGAGTAGTAAGAATAAAAACCTGGCATAGAGTATACACATGAATTATTGGTTCTTAGAATTATTACACATACAGGATAAGTTACTAATTTGAACCCCATCATTGTATCTGGAAACTATTATCTATCTATATAAAGGTCTCTCTCAAAAATTTATACTAAGATTACTGAAAGGCAACTGATAAAAGCACTTATTTTTATTTAAATTGTACGGACACGACTTTTTTTCTAATTATACAACTCTTGTAGGTTCTTGACTTCCTTTATTCAAATATTGTTTTCATTAATTGAAAGGGCAACTTGAATTATAAAACCCAAACAAATTTTTTCTAGAATCAACTTACATTTAACAAATTCTGTACTCAGGTGTGCTAAGTACTTCTTGAATACTGCCCCCCCCTTCCTCCGATTTATGTAACATTTTCATTACTTAGTTCCGAGAACACATGACTATTACTAAAACCAAATTTTTATAGGCTGTTAGTTTCTAGCGCAGATCATTTTGCCTCTAGGTGTTGCAGAATCAAAATCAAAACAACTAAATAATTTAGAGGTAAATTAGCAAGCAACTGAAAATGACATCACAAACTGGTTGCATGTGGCAAAAGAACTGACAGAATTATTACAATCTAGCAGATCAGCAGCTTCTCTCTCTCTCTCTCTCTCTCCCCCCCACAAAGAGATAAAAACATATAAATGGCATAGAAATGTATATTCATGTAACAAAAAAATCAATACAACTTCATTTCTCTTCTCCCAAAAAATTGTGCCTAAAAACTCCATGATGTCTGAGCATGTAATTGCCACTCTATTCTTATCACTTAGGGAAATTCTGTACAGAGAAGCAGCTGGAGGGAGGGTATTGAGGTAGAAGTTTGTCATTTCATCTCATTTTCTACTCAGCTGTATTCCAACACCCAAATCCTTTTATCAGTTTAAAGGAAATTTTAAAATAGAGAGCTTAATTTGGGTTAATATATGACTTTGTTAACACCTCATATTGAAAAAAAACAATAAACACAACAATAAATACTATCTTTTGTTTTTGAACACCAACATAAAAGTGATTACAAAATATAAAAGTACAGAGTTGGAAAGGATCATATAGATTGCCCCCAAATTTTACAGCTGAGAGAAATAGGATGCAGCGGGGATTAATCGTCATGCCAAAAACAACGCATAGATTTGTACCATTCCTGGAACGACAACCTCTGTCTTCGAATGCCAAGTTCCATGTGCTATCTGTGTCTCAATTCAAAAATAAAATTATTGTGGATCATTGGTTCCTGCTAACTTGTTTTTAAGATAAAACAATAGTGTCTTTCGCCCAAGATCGCCCATACTTTAGGGCATCGCGAACGTGGTTTGAATGTATGCCCGAGAAATAGAAGCAAAGGGCCACAGGTCTGCAGCAATACACCAAATTCCTCACGTGGCTCAGGTTTCAGACAAAGTCATATGGAAACCTCACCAGAAAAAGAATCATTCATGATGCATAACTTGCCGTTCAGCGAACAAAGGCCCCAATACCCTATTCTACCATTCTGACACCTAAAAATTCAACTACAATCTCAATTCTCTCATTTCTCATCCTGATATCCAAGGGTCTTCTTGGTATTATTTTGCTCTCAGTGGGAAAACGAAGCCCCGATAAGCCATTTTCAGCCAAACGTGTTCTCTTCTCACAAGTCCTTTCAACAGTTTGCTAAATCATGGCGCTCTTGAGAGCGAGGTGATCTCCTATTTAGTGCCACTTCCCATTATGTGCCCTGATATGTGCCAAATACATTTTAGAACATAAAACTAGTGACTCAGTCGTTAATCTTGAGGACTATTTTCTTCAGGCTGAAACCTGACTTTAACTTTTTTCCACCTATTTTTTATATATGGGGGGATGATTTACTCTTTTAATTTTCTCTCAACTTTTCTAGTAAAGAAGGATGAGTTATGCACTAGGCTCTAAGCACAAACATCTGTATTTAATGGAAAGATTACTTCAAGATTACTTCATAATTTCAAACTGTAATAAAATTTTTTGGAATCTTTAATTCTATGTTTCCTTAAAGAAAATAGTGCTTTACTGCTGACTCAGGATCAGCCTGATATCCATTCTCACAACCCTCACCCCTTGGGGTCTATTTCGCCTGTATTAGCACTTAGGCAGTCATCCATTATAATAGAATCCCAAGATACAGAGACAATTATCTTTCTAAATTAGCTTGTTCCTAATTAGTGAAAAAAAATACCTAGCCCAGAAATGTTTATTTTCCTTGCATCTTGACATCCAAGAATACTACTGTTTTAGCTTTCAAACCAACATTATGAGCATGATTTTCTTTTTCCTTTGCTGCCAGTATGTATAGGCAGTAAAGACACATTAAAGAGCCAAACCCAAGGAAGGGAGTGTAGAGGTGAGCCAATAATAGAAATCAGTGTCATACCGTAGGGCAACAGTAAGCTGGCCAGTCTGATGAAGGACACATATAAACATTGAGGTCAGGGCAAGGCAGGAAAGAAAGCAAGGTGGACAGATAAGATGTCGATAGATATAGAACCAGGAGGTCAGGTAGGAAACTGGGACTAGAAATTAAGCTTAAAGAAAAAAAAAAAACAACATTAACCAAGAGATTTTCAACTTTGGGGAAAATAGGACAAGAGCAAAAAGAATTAGCTCATGCAGAAACTTTTGCTGCATCAACTGTTGACTCAACTATTCTGGTTGCCCCAAAACTAACTCCATTCCTCTTGCATCCTGAATGAGACCAGCCCAGGGGGGGTGCAGAAATGGCCACTGAACAAAGCCAACTGGGGAGAAGAGTGTGGAAGCAGGGCATTCCCACGGATTGCAGATGATTTCTGTACGATCTGCTGTTCCCAGTCTGGAAAAGCCAAATTTGTTTCATGTTGGATTTGAATGTTACAGAAACAATTCAACCTCAGTAGTATTAGCTTACTTATTAATTGAAGCCATGCATTAATATTTACAAGGACCTTAGTACTAACCTTTAATATCATGGTCTGTTTGAAGGGATTTTTCCATATTGTCTTCTTTTGCCAGAGACCCACTGTGGTTTGGAAGTCAAAGCAGAGAAAAAGGCAGAGAGCCAGTCAAACTACAGGAGAAATGCTGGAGACCTTCCCACAGTTCGCAGCAAATTTGGCTTTCCTGCCCACATTGCTTCTAGCAGGATCTTCTAGGAAATTTGACATCGTTTCTTCATTAATTTGTGAAATATTTATTGAGCACCTACTGTGAGACAATGGTCCACTATCGAACACAACTGTGATTTCAGGATGCATTGTGGGAGGTGAAGGATTCAGGGAATGCCTCCATTTCGTCCCTCTGATTTCTACCATATTGACCTGAGATTTCCCATTCTAGTTCTGGCTTGAAATTTTATTTCTCTTAAACCATATCAAATGTATTACTCACACATGTATCTGTGGAACATTTTTTGAAACTCCTTAGGATGTGCCAGTTGTTAGAAAAAGCAAAGTTAAAAAAGATAGTTTCCTTGCTTTAGAAATTCCATGATTTGTAAAGGACACATAGAAACAACTTGAATATTATCTCCTCTCGCTATAAAAGTATTTGCAAATATATGCCTTATCTATTTTACCAGAAACCCAGAGAATTTTTTATTCTGGAATTTAAAAATATGAATCCTTCACTTGAAGACAAGTCACAAAAAGAGAAACTGAGGATTACAAGTCAAAAACCATAAAACAAAAGCAGAGAAGAGGCTGTGTGTGTATGTGTGTGTATGGAAAAAAACTACATATATACATATATATTTTTTCTTTTTCCTCCTAACATCAAGGAAGTTGAGGAAAAGTCAAATTAGGCCATATGGCTACATTTCTTAAGCACCTATGTGAAGAAGAGTTACTGGGTAGGCCATGCAGGTTATCGCTAATTTGATGATCACAAATGGATTTTAAAGAAATCTTTGGAGCATATAGAACAAGTGACCAGAAAACAATAACAATGTTTTAAATAGCAGCATTTATTCATCACCTTATATATTCTGCATATTGTGCTAGATACATCACTATAAATTAGCACAGTGCTCCTAAAACATATAGTACATTAGACAGACACTCCCAAAGTGGTTATCAAAGGATTTTCATAGATATCTTGCATCTCCCCCACACATACACACCAAATTAATTAGTTTTCAGGCTAATTTAATGAAATACTAAACTAAAACTTCAAAGGAGTTTTTTTTTTTAATTTTTTTTTAACGTTTATTTATTTTTGAGACAGAGAGAGACAAAGCATGAACAGGGGAGGGTCAGAGAGAGGGAGACACAGAATCTGAAACAGGCTCCAGGCTCTGCGCTGTCAGCACAGAGCTCGACGCGGGGCCTGAACTCACTGACCGTGAGATCATGACCTGAGCCGAAGTCGGCCTCTTAACTGACTGAGCCACCCAGGCGCCCCTCAAAGGAGTTTTTGTGTGTGTGTGTTTTATACTGCAGGTGGTCTTGTGGTCTTTAACACAATAGGGTAGAAATTCCAAATGGAGAATATAATATATAGCCATCCACACACTATTTTTGGACAATGGAAACCATTTTCCATGGAGCGTATTGAAGCATTAGTTGTGTTAGTGCTCTGAGAAATATGCTTTAGGAAATATGTGATCGGGCATGAGGCATTGGGAAGAAATAACTTGAAACAGAAAATAAATGACTGTTAATATTCATATACCTTTTCTAAAATAAGACAAAATTACAAGTTCAAATTTAGGAGAGCTTAGGAGAAGGAAACTCTTAAAAGTTTCCACTTTGCGTTGGAATGGACATTACTAACAATTCATTGTCATTGCTCTTATGTTGGATTTTTCTCTTTATTGCATTATTTTGGTGAACTTCAGATGACCTCCTCTCATGAACTTTGATCATTTTACTATTTGGTCTCAGCTTCCTGAATCACAAACTCTTCTATCATGGGAAACTTCAAGAACTTCATCTCAAAATGGGAAAAGAATCACCACAATTACAAGAATTATGGACAAAACGACAGGGACATACTGAGGAGAAAGATCCTTCTTGCAGGGGGTCCGCGAGGGTGGATTTTATAAAAAGAAGACAAAAGGAGATATATAACTCCCACGGAAGCTGCTAGGGTTTACTTGAAGACTTGGTCCAAGAAAACATTTGAAAAGAACAACAAAGAGAGATGGTTATGAAATGGATTTTGTCAAGCTGTTTGCTAGAAAGTTTCCAGTTCATTTTTTTACCCATTTTGTAAACACTGTGCATCACTGTGGTACATGCATTTAGTTATGACTCCACTTTGTTTCTGATGCAGAATAATTGTGTAGGCCAATTTCCCCATCCCAGTTCCTAATTTTATCTGAAGCATCATTCTTTAATACTCGATTGGTTCATGAACAAAAGGGGAAACCATTCTAGCATCTAGTCCCATCCTCCAAGCCTGACATCAGGTTGGAAAACTCTTGTGAGTGTGTTCATACTCACATTCATACCATAGAATGAAAGCAGCTTGCAACAAATTCCAATTGGATGGCTCCTGCTGGCCCATGGCTGAGCTATATGAGTCCCCACCTAGCCAATCCTGGAAAAAGTGAGTGCTTGTGGTCTCAACTCTACAGACAACTGTAATGTGCTGGATATCATATTGATTCTATCAGTTCCAGACAAAACCTCAGATGGTTTGTAGTTTCCACTTCTCTTCCTTAAACACCTAGTCTTTATCCTTAGACTTAACAACCAGAGGAGAAATTAACATTCCCCCTGATCATACCTAACTCCGAAGTTATTCAAGTTGAGCACCAGAGACTGATTTCTTTTTTCTTACGTATGTTGAGAGGCTGTCCCCCTTTATCATACCTGAGGAGACAACCTAAATACCTCAGATATTTTTATGGTTAAGTTTTCTTGATGATTATACATTTATCTTCTGACTCAAAATTTAAATTAATTCTAAAACAAACAGAATTGAACAGTGAAACTTATGCTTTGTCTGCTGTTGTTTTTATAAGGGAATAAAGATAAACCATAAAATTTCCACTCTCAGGCTACAGTATCTGACCTTTTAAAACCCAATTATTGAGCTTACATAAGCTTGATATTATGGTTTAGGGTTCATTTTCTTGTTTTTCTTATTTTTTCCTACTTTGGTTCATTGGTACGCAATTGTAAGCTTCCAAGGTAATTTCTGGAGGAAGGTAGGCTGTAAACAAACAAAAATATGAAAAGAGAGAAATAGCTGAAACTAAAGGCTACACAAATGAAGTGACCTAAAGTAGAAAGTGAAAGTTGATCATGTCAAAAAATTAACAGCATAAAAAGGCATTAAACAGAAAATCACTAGAACTATTGGTAAAAGTGGATATGAACAGTGCTTCATTATTTCTGAACAGATGTAGGCTACTAAAACCCGAAGCTATTTCTATATTTCTATACATAAAGAAGTTAGGTCAACAGGCTATGGCAGGAGGTAAGCTCAGCTAGAATTCTAGCAGGGAAAAAAAAGAATAAAATTGTTTGAGATAGCTCAGAAGAAGAGTAATATTTTGGGGGAAAGAGCTTCAGGAAGATCCAACGTTCTCTCCTAAAACTGTTGTATGATGGCTCAGGCCACTTCTACTCCTTATTTAACAAAAAGTCTACATAATTATGTTTTAGAATACAGTAAAATGTCTGTTTGAAGTCTTATTTATTGTGGTTCCTAAAAGATTTCACTGGATACTTCTTGGTTTTGTTTTTTTTTTTCTCTTGTTTCCTTTTGAAATTTTTATGTGATCTGCTCCCAACCGGCCAGAGAGAACCCTGTGCCAGCTGCTAGCAAGCCTAACATAGTGATCGGGCATCTGACCAATATTACTATTTCTGCTGCCCTCAGAATGCAGGAAAATAAAGTCTTTGACTTCTACCTTAGAGAAAAAAAGGTAATCAAGTTTTCTAGTAGAGTGTAAGAACAACTAAACTCTATACGACAGTATTTTATTAATTCAATGAGTATCATTTTGAAGTAATTTGCATTTTACCAGAGGTGTGTCAACGAGTAAGAAATGTGATGATTTCTAGTTTTTAACAATCAATTAACGTCTTGCTAAAAATATCAGCCTTTTGTTTTAGTGGCTTTTTGTGTCTACATGTTTTGGAAATACGAAAAGGTGTACCTATGATTATTCTTGAAGATAAAGGTCACAAGAGAAACAATATCTTTTGAACTAAATGCTTTCTCATGTTTGACTAAAGAGTAGTCAACAATCGGTCTCTCATCTTGTGGTCTGTGGATGAATAAATACAGAGGTAGTATTATAACCTAGGAAAACAGTATGACCTTATGCAGATCCTAGTTTGTGGCTACATTACTCGGCTTCAATACAAAATGAAACAATCCAGTCAAAATGATCATATGAAAAAGACGAACGTGTTCAATTGCTGTAAAGGCCTTTATCATGACAATATATGTAAAGGTACAGGAGAGAGGTACCATTTTGGTGGAATCCTCTTCTCTTCCCCCCTAGAAATGCGTTGGCTATTCTTGCCTTCCTCTGGACGTTCCCACTTGGCTTCAGTGGGAGCCTTCCTCCGGACGTTCCCACTTGGCCGACCATGGCCTAGGTGGCTAGGGTAGGTATGTTCCTGGTGTGTACGCTTGAGCCTACCCTTGTCAAGGCCTGTGGATGCACCACCACCTACTCTAGCAGTTCACTGCTTCAAGAACTCAACAGCAACATTCACCCCCAAGTGTTCAGGTCCAGACCAGCTTTGACAGCAGCTTTGTTTCTGTACAGTTTTATTTCCATACAAATGCCAACCAGCTATCATTGTGCTCCACGATGACAATGTAGGTTAATGCAAAATAAGAGCAAGACTCAAATATCAATATCTTGGGAAATTTGTAAATGTTCGGGAGGCTAATTCCTTTTTTATCAATAGGCACATTTGTTGTTGCAAATTTATTCCGTTAAAATACAACGCCATGAATTTCTCTTCTCGATTTTTCTCTAATCCGCAATACGTATGTTCAATATATCCTTCTTCAGTAAATTGGTCTCCTGATAAACAAGGATAGGTTTCACAGAGGCAATTTTCTTTCTTTCTTCTTTCTTTCTTTCTTTCTTTCTTTCTTTCTTTCTTTCTTTCTTCTTTCTTTCTTTCTTTCTTTCTTTCTTTCTTTCTTTCTTAGATGTTAGGACAGTTTTAGGTGACAACAAAACTGAGCAGAAGGCACAGAGATATCTCATATATCCCCTGACCCCACACATAACCCAGCTTCCCCCACTATCAAGATCCTGCATCAGAGTGGTACTTTTGCTACAATTAATGAAACTACATTTTTAAATCTGATAATGGCAAGATTGCAGAATACCAGATTAATGCACAAAAGCCAATTGTTTCCTTATACAATAACAATGAATAAGCCAAATGTGAAATTAAAAACAATAAATTAATTAAACAACTAATACAATTTTTTTAAATTTTTTAAGGTTTATTTATTACTGAGAGACAGAGACAGAGCGTGAGCATGGGAGGGGCCGAGAGATGGGGAGACACAGAATCTGAAGCAAGCTCCAGGCTCTGAACTGTCAGCACAGAGCCCAACATGGGGCTCCAACTCACAAACCGAGAGATCATGACATGAGCCGAAGTCGGACACTTAACCGACTGAGCCACCCAGGTGCCCCAACAATTAATACAATTTACATTAGCCCTCTCAAACTTGAAATACTTAGGTATATATCTAACAAAATATGTACATGACCCATATGAGAAACATTGCAGAGCTCTAATGAATAAAGTCAAAGAAGAAATAAACCAATAAATGGAGAGATATTTTATGTTCATGGATAGGAAGCCTCAATATTGTCAAGATGTCAGCTTTTCCCAATTTGATCTATAGATTTGACAGAACGCCAATAAAAACAATCAACAAGTCATTTGGCATTTTCATATCATGAACAAGTTATTTTGGATATCAAGAAACTGATTCTAAAGTATATGTGGAGAGACAAAAAAAAAAAAAAACAAAACAGAATAGCCAATACAACAATGAAGCAGAAGAACAAAGTTGGAGGACCTATACTACTTGACTTCAAGACTTACTATAAAGCTACAGTACTCAAGATAGTGTGCTATTGGAGAAAGAAAAGACAAATCAATGGAACAGAATAGAGACCAAAAATAGATTCACATAAACATATTCAACTGATCTTTAGCAAAGGAACAATGGCAGTAAATGCAATAAATGGCAAAGATGGTCTTTTTCAACAAATGTTGCTGCAAGAACTGGACACCTACATGCAAACAATAAAAAAATTAATCTGGACACAGACACTTGCGTAAATTAACTCTAAATGGACAGCAGACAAAAATGTAATAAACTCCTAGAAGATAATGCAGGAAAAAAAAACTAGATGACCTTGGCTATGGTGATGACTTTTGAGCTACAACACCAAAGGCATAATCCATGAAAGAAATAATTGAAACTTTAGATTTCATTAAAATTAAACATCTCTGCTTTGTGAAAGACAGTGCCAAGAGAATGAAAAGAAAAGCCACAGACTGGGAGAAAATATTTGCAAAAGTTATGTCTGAATACAGGACTATTATCCAAAATATACAAAGGACTCTTAAAACTCAACAATGAGAAAACAAACAACTCCATTTAAAAATAGGCAAATGCCTCTCCAAGGAAGATATACAGATGGCAAATAAGCGGGTGAAAAGATTCTGCACATCATGTGTCATCAGGAAAATACAAATTAAAATAACAATGAAATACCACTATGCATGTATTAAAATGGCCAAAATCCAGAACATTGATAGCAAATGCTGACGAGGTTGTAGAACAACAAGAGCTCTCCTTCATTGCTGATGGGAATAAAAATGGTACAAGCACTTCAGAAGACAGTTTGGTGGTTTCTTATAAAACTATACTTACTGTTACCATATGATATAATAATTACATGCTTGGTATTTCTCCAAAGGAGTTGAAAACTTAGGTCCATAGAAAACCCTGCTCACAGAAGGGTATGGCACCTTTATTCATAATTGCCTAGACTTAGAGGTATCCAAGATGTCCTTTCGTAGGTGAATGGGTAAACAAACTGTGGTGCATGCAGAAAATAAGATATTATGAATATTATTAATCACTAAAAAGAAATGAACTATCAAGTCATAAAAAGACATGGAGCAACCCTAAATGCACTCTCTCACCAACAGAAAAAAAAAATCTGAAAAGTCTAAATACTGTATAATTTCAGGGCACCTAAGTGACTCAGTCAGTTAAGCGTCTTACTCTTGATTTTGGCTCAGGTCATGATCTTGTGGTTTGTGAGTTCCAGTCCTGCATTGGGCTCTGCATTGGCAGTGTAAAGCTGCTTGGGATTCTCTTTCCCTCTCTCTCTCTGTCCCTTCCCCATTCTCTATCTCTCTCTCAAAAATGAATAAATTAACTTAAAAAAATTAAATACTATATAATTTCAACTATATGCCATTCTGAATAAAGCAAAATTATGGACATGGTAAAAAAGATCAGTGGTTGTCAAGGGCTTGAAGACGAAGGGATGGATGAGTGAGGCACAAAGGACAGTGAAATATACTCTATATGTTACCATAATGATGCATTTATTTAGGACAGTGAAAATACTCTGTATGTTACCATAATGATGCATTTATATCATTGTACATTTGTCCAAACCAACAGAATGTATAGCACCAAAAGTGAAGTATAATGTAAAGTATGAACCTTGAGTGATTTTGATGTGTCAATGTAAGATCATCAATTGAAATAAATGTGGAAGGTGCTGGTAATCCAGAAGGCTATACATGTGTGTTTCAGAAGGTATGTGAGAAATCTCTGCACCTTCCCCTAAATTTTGCTGTGAACCTAAAACTACTCTTAAAAAAATAATAAATCTTAATAAAGAAAGAAAAAACTCCCCAAACAATAAAGTGATGTTTCGAGTAAAACAATTGTAGGGGCGCCTGGGTGGCTCAGTCGGTTGAGCATCCGACTTCGGCTCGGGTCATGATCTCATGGTTGGTGGATTCAAGCCCTGCGTCGGGATCTGTGCTGACAGCTCAGAGCCTGGAGCCTGCTTCGGATTCTGTGTCTCCCTCTCTCGCTCTCTGCCCCTTCCCCAGTCATGCTCTGTCTAAAACATAAATATAAACATTGAAAAAGAAAAAAAAATTGTCACTTGCTGAAACTCATTGACCATGGCATAAAATGTTATCCGCACAGGTTAAGATGAAGAATCCTGATTCTCATGTCTCAATGACTGCAAATTAAGCAGCCCTTTAAGAAAAGTTCTCAAAAAGCCTCTTATGCAGAAATCATACTCACGTTTGACATGTCTCATCTCTCACCCTTGAGGTCATGATTCCATAGTTATCATGGATTATAGTGTCCTCTACACCTTTGAAATTACCTGATGAAAAATCCAACCTCATTATACTAATGGTTTCAGAGACTAAAACAAAGTTGATAATGCTTGTCCAATGAATATTAAATCAGGACAAACCTGAAACAAAAGCTCTGCAACCATATCACAGGACCAGTCTAAACTGAAACTGAGCCATTACATGGTTGATGAATCTCAGAGGGGGAGAAGACTTATCAACATAAATTTGCCATACGATAATGAGTTGCAGAAGTGCAACTTTTTGAGAACAAAAAGAACTTTATCCGTTCACGTATACAGGCTGTAAGTATCACGTCTTCTCACATCTATATATCACTATCAAGAGTATTAGGAAAAGTTCAGAAAATCCCAGCAGTCATCAATTCTCGTCTGTGTTTAATTACCTGAAAAATCCAGACAAGTTTGAATCATCCAAGCCGGTGGTGTTTTCCATAACCAACTGTTTTTAATAAACATTCATGAACAGAAGTAGTTCTGCTTTCTTAACCCTCAACATTTTGAAATATCTGTAGAGAGAAAAGCAATACTAGAGAGAGCATAGAATATACTCTGTGGAGTGTTGCAAGGTGGTACATTTATTAAGTATTCCTTATGACACTTTAAATACTTTACTCATGAATGCCATATAGAATTACAGTCTTTCTAAGGCTGTGATTTGGATTGCTTTAATTATTGTATATCCACTTCCAACTTGGTTTTTACCCTTTATTCTTCCCCAGAACGTAAGAAGAGCTTATTTTCTATAAATTCAGACTGGTATCATCATATCTAGGGTAAACATACTTATGGCCATTTATGGTTTTGAAATGATTCTTTGTGATAGTTAACTAATCATTTATCACTTCTCCCACATTAAAAAAGTCATCTGATGATGGCATAATTGAACAACAGTTGGAAAATCATTCACTGTAAACAGATACTGGTGAGCTCTTTAAAAATCTAGATGACATAAATTATTTGTAATCTATAACTTACATGAAGAATAAAAACACGATGTGAAGGTAATTCCTGTCTAAATTAATCCTAAAGGAGAATTATATGGTAAAACCTCACAAACTCAAATGACAAGAGGAAAGTTGGCTTCAATTAATGAATACCTTACAGGAATGCACCATTAATACATTAAACAAAAAATAAGTAAGATATTTTTAATTTAAGCGTCTACCTTTCTCATTTAAAGTATCATAAGAATAAAAGGGCTAGTTTTAGACTTGCCACTTGGATTTTTTAAAAACACATGGATGCTTAGTTTCAACCAATCTTTTGTTCCAGCCACATAATGGCAGATGCTGTCTTCCCCAGCCCCAGGTTTTGGATACTAAAGACAATATCTGTATAAACCACTTACTTTTTTTGCCCTTTGGATTCTTTTAGGCCAGTTAAAGAGATAGTTAAATAAACGAATAACAAGATAATGTTATATTAGACAAATACACAAAACTGCAAAAGCACAGATAAAAAAAATTGTGTAGTATATTACTCTCATTATTTTGTTTTAATCAGCTTTAATATATGGTAAGAAACAATAAAACTGGCAAGGCAAGCCAATATCAGCACTGAGGTACCATTTTCTTCAACGTTTATTTATTTTTGGGACAGAGAGAGACAGAGCATGAACGGGGGAGGGGCAGAGAGAGAGGGAGACACAGAATCGGAAACAGGCTCCAGGCTCCAGGCTCCGAGCCATCAACCCAGAGCCTGACGCGGGGCTCGAACTCACGGACCGCGAGATCGTGACCTGGCTGAAGTCGGACGCTTAACCGACTGTGCCACCCAGGCGCCCCAGGTACCATTTTCAAACACTGATCATGAATAACCTTTAAAGGAACTGCCATCCTACAGTCTTTAAAAAGTTCAGGTAATATGACTTTTTGAGATTGGGAAACAAAACAATGCGATGGGGAAATAAATCAAAGACGCAATTCCCTGAGGGTCTTAATGAAATATGTTTCTACAATTAAGTTGGCCTGTGAACCTAAATATTTTTGACAGTAAGAACATTTTCATTGTACATTTATTACATATATAACTGACTGCTACATGTTGAGACACTGGCCAGTAAAAAAGTTGTGAATAATCGTTTATTTTTTAATAAATATATTTTATGTCAAGTGTGACTTACATGAAAAGTGAGAATATATCACTTTGTTGTTGGATTTCATTCATTCCTAGGAGTCTTAAAATTATATTTCTATTTGGCTTATAAGCACAAAGTGTGAACAATCAGCTTTCTACTTCCTTCACAGGCCGCATGCCATGTTGAGCCATAATCCTCTTCTTGCTCTGGACATGTGGATTCTGTCCATTTGTACTTTGTGAAGATTTTAATCAAATTACATATTTCATTGTATTTACAGTAAGGCTGTAAAGTTCCATGAGATTCCATTCCCAATCACTTGGTGTGAGAGGTCTGCTTTCAAATATGTGTAACTAATGCACCCTAGGATGTATAGGTAGGAGCAAATACAAGTCTGAACTCCCTCCTTACCATTTTATTTGTATGAATCTGGGAACTAATGCTAAAATTTCAGAATGAGGTAAAATGGCTGCTATTCTACAGAACATCACAAAAGAAATCTATAAAGATTGTGTTAGTCACAAATAACATTTTACTGTGTTGGCTTCTTATGAATTATTTTTAGTTTTTGGATGAAGGATAAAAAATGACCAAAAATCTATCATGAACTTACAACATAAGTAAGTTATATATACAATATAAGCTCTCTAAATAAGAGGACAATCTCTGAGTTTCTTCAGTATCTAATGATGTATAAAATTACGTGTGAAGTAAGGTTCCCCTGTATATATATGCAATTATGGAGGTGAAAGAATGTGAATTAAAGAATGATAATCATTAAATTTTACTGAGTCACAGATGGCCTTCTGAATCTGCCTCTTTCTGACTGTGTGTTATAACTTAATATTGCTCTTCACTGATTCTAACTCTATGTGTCTTTGGGTTTTTCAAGATTCAGAGGAAAATAGCCATATAAACCAAATGCATTTAGCAGCAGCACCATTTCAGGCCAATGAAAGCATGTTGTAGCAAAATAATGATCATCTTAGAATTCAAAGGTCATGTCAAGACTTGCCTGAAAGACCATCTCTTCTAAAAAGCTCCTTCATGGTCTCCACTTTCTTCTCATAACTTCTGTTGTCTGTGTTAAATGCAGCATAGCCAGAGACAGACGGTTCTGGGTCCTACCACTACTCTGGTCCCCCAAAATCTTTACTGTAATAGCAGTAATAATCAAACAGGGTATCCTAATTGAGTGTGTGCTCCCTCTGTCTCTCTCTCCTTCTGGTATATTTATAATATTTATATCTATAAATACCATGCATCTATCTTCACAATAATACCTTAAAGGGGTATTTAAATGAATACTTTCAAAGATAACCAAAAACAGTAGCCAGAATGAATGAGCCCACATCCTGTACGAAAAAACCACATGCAACGTGCTGAACATACAAAGATTTATAAATGTGGTATAATAGAGGATAGCTGTCTCTAATTTCTCTTCAGTGAGGAACAAGAGGTAAGTATTAACCAGGGTGACTGAGACGATATCCTAGTAGAGCCACCAATTTATCTGCATGTCCTGATGTATACTTCCATTTAGCCAATTTTGCTTCAAAACCCTTTTAACTGACCACACACTGCTGTTGGTCCCTCTTTATGTACTCTAGGGATGGCTGACACAGTGTTAGGCTCAGTCATTCTGCTAGGCATCTGTATGGTATGTGAGTGCTATGATGGCATTACAGGTGGTGGGGGTTAATGGATGTGGAAGAGGACTTTGATGGGCTAAGTGCATTTGGTAGAATTTCTCAGTTAGGTGAGAATTTCCAACTGGTCTTCATTTGAGCAATACCATCATGTACCCTGTGATATAATATTCAGCACTCCCATAGTTGCTGTTTAATCCTTTCATGTCCCGTTACATCGCAGTTACATTTGTAGAATATATTTTAAAGCTTTATAAAATCAGACGACCATTGGGATGAAAAGGGTCACGGCTAATATCACAGACTCTAGAATCAACTACATGGTGTGATCTCAAAGGCACCACCTGTGTACGTTTGCTACCTGTGTAAACCAAAGAAAATTATTGATTTCTCAGGTTTTTTCATCTTTTGAATTCCATAGTACCTGACTCTTTTAGTGAAGAATAACTGAATATTATATATAAAGCACTTCAAATAATGTCAGGCATGAAGTAAATAAACACTATGAAAAAGTTAGCTTGTTTTTTTTTTTAATTATAAATCTCATTGGCAGAACGGGACACCAAGAAAGCTTTTGCTCTGAAATAAACCCACATTTACATGATCAATTAATCTATAACAAATGAGGCAAAAATACACACTGGAGAGAAGACAGTCTTTTCAATAAATGGTGTTGGGAAATTGGACAGCTACATGCAAAAGAATGCAAATGGAACCACTAATTATGCCATACACTAAAAATAAACTCAGAAAGGATTAATGACCTAAATGTGAGACCTGAAACCATAAAACTCCTAAAAGAAAACATAGATAGTAATCTCTTGGACCTCAGCCTTAGCAAAATAGTTATAGAAATGTCTCCTTAGGCAAGAGAAACAAATAACAAAAATAAACTATTGGAACCACACCAAAATGGAAAGCTTCTGCATAGCAAAGGAAATCATCAACAAAACAAAAAGGTAACCTACTAAAAGGGAGAAGCTGTATGCAAATGACATATCCAATAAGGAGTTAGTATGCAAAATCTATAAAGAATGTATACAACTCAACACACACACACACACACACACACACACACACACACACACAAGAAGTCTGATTTTACAAGGTCAGAGAACCTGAATAGACATTTTTCCGAAAAAAATGTATATAGATGGCCAACAGACACAAGATGCTCAACGTCACTAATCATCAAGAAAATGCAAATCAAAACCACAATGAGATATCACCTCACATCAGTTAGAATGGTTAGTATGAAAAAGATAGGAAATAAATAACAAGTGTTGGTGAGGATGTGAAGAAAAGGAAATGAACCCTCATACACTGTTGACATTGTGAAGTGAAGTCATTGTAGAAACAGTATGGAGGTTCCTCAAAAAATTGAAAATAGAAATATCACAAGATCCAAAAATTCCACTAATGGGCTATTTACCCAAAGAAAATGAAAACACTAATTTAAAAAGGTATATGTGCCCCCATTCTTATTGCAGCATTATTCATAATAGCCAAGATACAGAAGCAACCCAAGTGTCCATAGATAGATGAGTGGATACAGGTGAATCATATAGATATGAAATAGCCATAAAAAAGAATGAAATCTTGCCATTTGTGACAACATGGATGGACCTAGAAAGTATTATGCAAAGTGAAAAAAGTCAGACAGAGAAAGAAGAATGCCATATAATTTTACTTATATGTGGAAATCTAAAAGACAAAATAAATGAACAAACAAACA